GCTGAGCAACTGATGCTAAAAAAAAACAACACATGAGGCAGTGTTTGAGGGGCAGACAATGAAAGGAGGGGAATTGAGCCCACAGCTCGTCACTCCCTCCCTGCTCACGACCATTGTTTCCTTCCTTCCTTCTTTTATTCAGCCCACCAGCAAGCATTTATTGAGCACCTACTCGCTGCCAGGCCGATAAAATGGAACTTGGCCATTCTTTTCCCACTGATGGCCCACAACAGTGTGTCACCTTGGTTTGCTGCCCTCAGCCCTTTTGGCGTCTTTACTCCAGCTGCCCTTGGCCTTCCCTGAATCTGATCCTCACTCCCCCCGATGCACACACACCTGAATGTATTAAGGGAGGGGATGGCAGGGGGAAGGAGGTGCAAACCCAGAGGGGTGTGTCCACGGGCCGTACTCCGATCCCACCCCGATGCATGAGATTTGTAGGCTCTGATCCTGAGTGTGTGCCTTTGGGCAAATGCCCCTCTTCTGTGAGTTTGTATTTCCTCCTCTGTGAAACGGGAACAAGGATAGTCCTGACCCCTCTGTGAGGCTGTGACACAATGGATGCAAGGTGCTTGCCTGGCTGTGTGGTTGGTGTGGGGCACACAGCAGGCACTTGGCACGTGGGGGTAACCAGACACCTGCCTGAAGCAGCCCTGCTGGTCCAGTCCCCACTGGGGGAAGGTACAAGGCGAGACCAAGGCCCCGGCCAGGGCTGAAGCTGCCCTCCGTGTCTCTCTCCCCAGCCTGCACATCCACAGCTGTGAGCTGCTGAGCTCTGCTTTGACACCCCTTCCTGGCCAGGGCCTGAGCCTGTCCATCTCCGACTCCTCCATCCGCGTCCAGGGCGACTGGAAGGTGCACATGTCATTCCTGTAAGTTTGCTCGACTCCCAGGCTCTCGGGCCCTTGGCCTTGGTCCCATTCTTCTCGGGTCCAATGAGTTCCTCACTCGTAAGAGGGCCACATGGTGGATGGAGGGAGTCCAAGGCCAGAGACCCCCAGGTTCCAAGTCCTGGCTCTTGGGCCAATCTCTTCCCATCTTCTGCCTCCCTGATGGGGGTGTCCATGAGCTAAGTGAGATAATACTGTGTTTTCTTGGTTTGCTTCCCCCAACAGCAGACCCCAAGGCTTCAAGTGAAGGTACTTTATCTGGGAAATGATCTAAGGAAGAACCCATAGGGGTTGGGGGAAGGGAGGCAGGAAGGGAAGGAAGACACTCTTGAGACCCTCTGGGGACAGTGTGGATGGAGCACCCCTCTGAGTTACCCCAACGCAGACAGGCGACCCGTCTTCCTATTTGCCATTGGTCAAGGGAGGCTCCCCAGGCACTTGGACCCTCCAGGATCCTTGGATGGAAGGTGGGTTCATCTGCCGTTACGAAGTACCCCAGACTCCTAGTTGAAGCATCAGAATTTTATCTTTCTTGCACGTCTGGAGGCTAGGGGTCCGAAATGAAGGTGTCAGAAGGTCTAGTTTCTTCTGAGTCCCCTCTCCTTGGCTTGCAGATGGCCGCCCCCTGTGTGTCCTCACATGGTCACCCCTCTGTGCATGTACCTGGGCATCTCTGCGTGGGTCCTAACTCCTCTTCTCACAAGGTCACCAGTCAGATGGATTAGGGCCCATCCTAGGGGGCTCGTTTTAACTTAATCACCCCTTTAAAGCTCCGTCTTCAGTACAGTCACATTCCAAGTCCTGGGGTTTAGGCCCTCTACGTGTGGGCTGGGGGCGGGGCACAATTCAGCCGGTAAAAGAGGGCTGCCCAGTCTCTTCTGGGGGACCTGACCGTAAGTCCCCTTTAGACCTGCACTGTCTGTGTAGCAGCTTCTGCCGCATGCCGTCACTGATAATAATTTTTAGATTGATTACATGTGGAAATGATAATTACAATGAATTACTCTTTCTTTTTGCCTTTCTTAACATGGCTACTAGAAAATTTTAATGACCAATGCGGCTCACATTATATTTCTGTTGGACAATGATGCTTTAGCAAGATGCTCAGTGTGTGTGTGTGTGT